GTGTGCTTTAGAAATGTATGTATAAAATTTTGAGAGAAGCATTGCTGTTGTAGAGGAAGCAGAAAAATAGTTTTGGATTAAGAATTTTGAACAAAGATTGTACATGTAGAAAAAACAAAAGATGACATAAGGATAATTGGTGCACTGATGTCACCTCTAAACAACAACTTTAAAAAAATTGTATTTACATATTGAAGAAAGTTTTAAAATAATATATACTAATAGCTAAAACCATATCACAGCCATATCAATAGCAAAGGAACCAAAACCCTACACAATACCTAGACTGAATCCTCATCAAGTTGTGTACAAGATTTTAATAACCTTATTGTCTTTGACTAAAATGGATGAAAATTGTATCTAGTTTTGTTTTCTTTAATAAAGAAATTATATCAGCATGTTGGAAAGAATTCAAAGTATTTTGATTTTCCAACAGATTGTCCAAAATCTTTCCCACAACTGATGTAAGGCTAATGTGTCTGTAATTACTGGAACAATTTTTATCACCTCCCCTGAAAAGAGGAGTTACATTACCTAACTTCCAATCCTCTGGTACCTGCCCACTATTCAAGGACTGACAAAAAATTGTAGCAAGTGGATCACATATCCAATCTTTAATCTCCTTCAAAACCCTTGTGGAAATATTATCTGGCCCAGGAGCCTTATCATTCTTTAAACTTCCCAATTTTTTCTTAATCAGCTCAAATGTAATGAAGGTACCTTGTTCAATCTTGTTTCCATTGATCAAGATGTGGAATACTGCTTAAATCTTCATTAATAAAAACTGAAGAAAAAGTAAAATTTGATAACCCAGCAATCTCGTAATCATTAGATATTAGCCTTTCATTATCATTCCTCAGGGGTCCTATCCCTATTCTAACATTTCGTTTTCCCTTAATGTATTTAAAGAAATCCTTACTGTTAATTTTTACACTTTCAGCTAAGTTTTTCTCATACATCCTTTTTGATGTTCTAATTTCCTGTTTCACCAACTTTCTTGATCCTCTATAATCTTCTAAGTCTCCTATCATACCGCTCAATTTAAATTTCTTAAATTTATGATGCTGTTCTTTAATTTTATTTCTTAAACTCTTTGTGAGCCAACCTGTTTTTTTACTTGTAGCTACCTTAGTGGAACTCTATATTTAAACCTGTGTATAAGATAATGGGTAGTGGTTTTAAGAGTAAAAAGTATCACCTTATTCGCCAGCAAGTATGGTAGACATGTTGCTCATCCTCATTGAATCAAGTAATTCTAGCTTCCCTTATGCAATATTTTCCTAAGTGGTTATGTTAACTGAGTACAGAATCATTCTCTGTATGGTTTATGTTGTTTTAAAATGATGAAGCTGTCATTTTTTTTTCTTATCATTTCCTTCTAAGGGATGATTTGTCATATTTTAATGTTTTTGCATAAGCTTGTGCATAAATGTCCTTAGTACAAATCAAAGGAGTTTGTGTAACTAAGTTTACAAGTATTTCAATTAAAGTAGCTTTTGACAGGAATTACTAACAAATACAAGATAACTGTAATTATTATTAACATAGGAAAGAGCAAGGAATAAATTAAGTTACAGTAGAAGGCTCATCACATGATTCAAGAATAAAAATGGTTTAACTTACTGTAATACCAAATTATTTTTAAGTGATTTCATATAGAACTAGCTCTTGGAGATCATGCTGTTTTAATAGCTCTCTGTGTGTGTTATTCTATATCTGTCAATCATAAGGTTATGGTGATCCCTTTTTTTATTTGTCAAAAATTTAATAATTTTATTGTTGGTTGCACAAAAGTATTTACATACTTGATTTAAATAATGTATCACATTTTGGATATTGAAGGTTAAAATTCAAACTAATAAAAGTCCTTTTTTTTAATTGAATTTAAAATTTACTTTTACAGTTGAAATAGCTTCATAAACCAAAGTAATTACATGACAATTTGTTGAATATATTTTGTTCTTCATTTATAAATTATTAACTATAACATCAATAATAGCAAATTGTAGTACTTTTTTTACACTAGTAAATTTGAAGTTATAATGTGTCAGCTTTCTGCTTGGTATTAATGTGTTGCACAAATGGGACAAGCCATTTACATCCTATACAGAAGCCTGATTTAAGTTTGTTGACAAATGCATAATAAATTTGTAATCTATTTCAATACTTAACAAAAAGTAATTGATAAAAGCAAAATTAACAATATTAATGTAGTAAATATCCTGACTTAAAAAATCTCATGCTTTAAATCAAATTTTCAGCAGTAAATCATTAAAAATTTGAAACAAATAACAATGTAACACGAGCTGTTAATATAGTAATGATAAACCAGTAAGTTTCATAGAAATGATGCATGGTTTGTTGATGTGAAAGGAAAATCCATTACATAAAGCTAGAAACATGAATCCAATCCTTAATTTTCTTTTCATGAAAAAAACTTCTTCTAGATCATATCACCTAAAGATTATCATCAAAAATAAAGTTTCTAAAGATATCTTAAAAGTTACAAGTATGATGGTTTAAGAAAACTAATTTTTGTTCTATTTAAAGTAAAATATGATTTACTCATTTTGTATTTATTCATGGGGTATTCTTTCATTCCAATTTGTTTTTCATTACAAAATATACTTGAACCCTAAAAAATATTTTACCATATTTTCCTAGAATGTATTGGAATAATTTAAAAACTGGTGGATTTTTAAATTTGTTTTATAGTTTTGCCAAAGTTTGAAGTCAAAATAACTCCTCCTTCATACCTACTGACTAACGCTGACTCAATCACATGGAAAATATGTGCCCAGTAAGTAGAACTGTTTCTGTCTACATTCAACATTTTAAATATAATGCTACAAAATTTCTTTAGTTGATTACATATATTTATACTGAAGTTTGTACAGTATAAATCTCCAAAATTTTGAATGCTATTGAAAGGTCTATCAAGGCAAAAAACAAAATGAAAACTAATTGATATGGTGCAATTTTATTTTTCATATTTTTCTTTCTAGATTATTTTCAATAAAAAGTTATGTACATTATAAATGACCTTTGAGAACTATAAACAAGACACCAAATATTTTAGGAAATTTAAATAAAAAGTCATGGGAATTTCACAAGTAGCTATAATCAATGGACAAGTAATATATTGTTACGCCAGTGGAAGTCATGTGACACTGCTGGCGCAAGCGTGTCTGAGTTTCTCACATTATCAGGGAACTCCTTGAATGATCGAGATGCGTCTTTGTTTGTATATAAGCCTGGCAGAGAAAGCCAGCGGGAATGAATGAATGTATGATAAAGCGAACATTAGTCACGGTGAGTTTAGGGTAATTTATGATTCTGTTTCGAGTTAGTGTGTGTTTTGTACTCGTAGAGAGCAAATTATCGAGATTGTGAATCACTGTGGTTTATTGCGTGTATTATAAAAGTTGTTAAATTTAAAGTGACGAGAAACGTACTGACTGGGGAATTACTGTGTACTAAAAATTTGTATCGAGAAAGAATAAAGTGGCTTAATGAAGAAAGGACTTGTATCATTTGCACCTGTTCCTTTTTCAGTAACTTCTGCAAACATGTGCACAGCTCGATGGCGTAGCCTTTGCTCATTGAAATCAATAGCAGATGAATTAACAGTAACATCTAGACAGCCATCAATCTGAAAGAAATTGCAAATATGTATTGCCAATTTTCATATTTCTATATTTTGGCTTTCACCAATAAAACCTGTATATTCTTCATCTGCCGTTTATATCATTTAAAAATTCATAAACATTGCCTCCAATAAACATTTGTGAACTTTATATTTTATGCATAAATACATGCATTTGAAATTGTTATATAAATATTATCATTTACAGAATAAAAAATGTTAAGTGGATTTCTACAACCCATTTTTCTAATTTTAATTACTTTAATTCGTATTTTGTTGTATTTATATTACAATTGTAAAGATGTATTGCCAATTTTGAGTTTTCTGTATTTTGGCTTTCACCAATAAAACCTGTATATTCTTCATCTGTCCTTTTGGACCTATTAGAGGGTTTATATAATTCAAAAATTCATGAACATTGTCTCCAATAGACATTTGTGAACTTCATATTTTATGCATAAATACATGCATTTGAAATTGTTATATAGATATTATCATTTACAGAATAAAAAATGTTAAGTGGGTTTCTACAACACATTTTTCTAATTTTAATTACTTTCATTCTCATTTTGTTGTATTTATATTAATTTTATGTTTAATATTTAGTAATTAATTTGAAAGTTAATTAAAAAACTTACAAGACCTTCCTTATGAACAACTGGTACACCCTTCTTTTCCCAGTTGTATTTAACAACATATGTCTCAGCTACGAACGTACCCTCTACTGGCTGACCATAGGTATACCTGAAATTTTGAAGAGCCATAAATACAAGTTTAAAGGAACCGCACCTTACAAATGGAAAGTTCTATTGAATTACTTATTTACTTGAAATATTGTGAAAAATACTGATTTATCATAAATGCCATCTTCTTAAATCCATATTAACATTCATAGTTTATGGATAATCAACATTTTCTTATAACTCAATATTGATTGATGGAATTGTTATTTATTTTCATATAATTAAAACAAAAGTTGTCAGTTGTTTTTGTTATCAGCACTTTTACATATTGTTGCTTATTTGCTTGTTTGTTAATTTCCGGTAGAAATTCTTTCCAAGGAACTTCAGTTCTTTTTTAATGTTTTGTTGGCTTATTTCACTTTCAGTTATAATGCAAATATTAACCAACAATAATGAAACTGCTAACAAGTGAGAACCATACTGAAAACATAAGCTACTAATAGTGAAAAATCTTATATTTTCTTCAACATTTTTTCATAATATCATCTTTGTATTTCCTAAAATGTTAAAAAAATAAATAGTTACACATATGTACACAAAGTTTGTAGTTGCAATATATTTTTCTAAATACTCAAGATTCAAATAATTGCAAATACAAAGGCATATGCAAATCAATAACGTTGAAATAAATAATTAATTTTAATCTCAAATAACCATCCATCTTCCGATTAAGAAATTTTACAATAGACAACCAAAAAATCTTTGACTCAACATATACATACACAATTTTCATCTATAATTTTACATATTTATTTTGAAGTTGAAAATGAAATATACACTTAAATTTTTACATGGCTCAAATTCATATCTTGTTAAGAATACATTGCCAAATACACATTCAACATAAATTTCAGATTTATAAAAATCATATGTTATATATAAGTATCCATAATGAATGTTTTTTCTCACACTTAAGTGTTCATTATATAGAATATGCATTAAAAACACTAAAAATATTTCTATAAAATATGCATTACATAAAAATACATTTAATCAAAAATACATCTAGAATTAGGTATTGTATAAACAATACAACTCTCCAGTGGCACAGTAGTATGTCTGTGGACTTACAATACTAGAAACTGGATTTCAAAACCGTTGGTTGACAGAACAAAGGTAGCCCATTGTGTAGTTTTGTGCTTAATTACAAACAAACAAGCTAAACAAAATCACAATGCAAAATTGTATATTACATAACAAACATAATGGTTATTAATCTCCAATTAACATTTTAGAAAAACACTCACGTATAAAATCATACTTGAGAGATGCTGTTAATTTAAAACTAAAGTCAACATATTTAAATTAGGAAATTATATTGACTCTTGAAAATTGAACTAACCATTAATGAATAATATTTTAGTAGCTTCACCTTGGTACTTCACAAACACACACACACACAAACCTGTACAAATGTGATTTAAAGCAAATTAGACACAAATGTTCAAACTGTACTTAAGGGTTTGATTTTATAAATAGCTTGGAGAGGTTTTGCTAGACATTGGTGCATGGGATCTATTTGAAATTGCCCCAAATTCCCAGTTGGTGTCTTGAAAAAGCAGAATAGAAAACCATGATTGATATTGTACTGAAACATTAAAAATTTTCACTTCTATTGGCCCAAGCCCTGAATCTTTTAAGCACTTAGTGAAACCTCAAGCTGCTTGTGTGGATTAGAATACCTTGATTGTTTAATATTGCATATATATAATATTGTTAAGTGTTTATATTTTATAAAGGG